CAACAGCCGGTTATATATGTCACGGTTACATACTAAACGAGAAAACTTCCGGGAATAATTTTCTCGGTAGTGTTTGTTGTGGGCCTCTTAAGCCTCCCCGATAATTGTCCTATTGTTAATAAGGAATTAGTATCTTGAGAATTGTGGGTGTCATAGGATGCCATGCCGTCGTCGATTCGCCACTTCTCGCTCGCTATGTTTGAGTGCGGCCGCTTTACGAAAAATTTTACATGTGAAAGCAACAACAAAGTTAGCTAGCACGGATAGACGATAGCAAGTTTGGTTGTACCTCATTGAGTTCGTTCGTTTCGCCACTTGCTAACTGAAGCTCGGAACACTTTGACGACAGCAAGCGACAAGCAGCATCTGTCAAATTTTAAATACACACGTTCTTACGGACACAATTATTTTGACGACAGCACGACATCTTGGCTGCAGGACTGCAATTGTCGACGTCGCCAAATTAAATCTATTTCTAATTTTGCCGGCGACAATGAGTAGATGTAGTGCTGCAGAATTAAATTGTCGCAAAATTAATCACATATTCTTGATTGTTCATGTTTTTCTTATTTACTTAAATAAAAATACACCATTTGTGAAATAAATATACCAAAATGTCAAACTTTAAAATCAGCTGTTTGCTATGTCGCTGAGGTCTTCAAAATGTTTAAGAAGCTGGCTTCAAGGCGACATTTGTCGACAAAATGATGTCGCTGTCGTTACGTCGTGAAGTTGCAGTCGTCAAAGTGTTCCGAGCTTGATGGCGAATCGATGACGGCTAATAATCAATTGTAGCGCATTTCCTCTTACTATGCATAGGCCTGAATGTATGCAACCATTAGGCAAGCGAACACAGGGTGCTTCTAATAAAAATAAAAATTGTATGCTGAAATACACATGCTAAGCCCTTCGAAATTTTGTGCTGGGATATGCGTTACAGCTTCGCAAATTTTACCCCTACCGAAACCAAAGATGTATACACATCAAAAATTTAGTCATTGGGATTTTTAGCAACTATAAGCTTACACTGAGTTATAGTAAAATTTAGTAAGCTATAAAACTGCTTACACAAAATTTTTATAGAAATTCGAATTAAAAAGCTTGAATTTTTAATTGTATTGTAGTTTTTTATGTTTTGTACATTTTTTATAAAAAATTAGTAGACACTAAATAAACAAAAAAAGTAGTCAAAACTGCTAAAAAATGTTGTGGTGCTATTATTTATGAGCAGTACTATATTCGTTTTCTTATAAAATGGTAAAATGTTAATAATTTTCCTTGTCCGGATTTTGATATGCGCCTCCGTATTTGATCTCAGTTGAACTTTTATAAGAATGAGTTGTCAATTTAAACGAATATCTTTTAATTTGTTTGTTTTGTAGTGTTATAAATGTTCTTTTATAGCCAATTTCACTTCTTTGCACTTTAAAAGGGACAAACACAATCCGATTTTAATTTTGCCATATAAAAAATAAATTCAGATTTTGCCTGTCGCTATTCAAGGGGATGCAAGGGTATGTATATAAGTTATATAATTCAGACGCATAAATTAAAAAGTTTATTTTATTATTAGAAAAAGTTATTTTTGATGCACTCAAATTAAAAAGAAAATATACAATCTCTTTAATTTACAAAGTAATTTATAAATTTTATAAACTTAATTATTATTTAATTTTCAAGCAATTGAGCGTTTCAAATCAATACCTTTCACGACGATAGTACTATCGATACTATCGATGTTTTCAACTATCTTTTCGAAAACTATCGAGTGGCGGTACTATCGATTGTATCCCAGCTCTACGAAATATCCCTTTGTTTCAAGCTATTTGTGTTGTGTATGGGGTTTGACCAGCCGCTGAAGGTAATTTTAATAAAAATCAAAATTTTTTGATTTTCTGGCCGCCATGTTGAAGTTGATCAAACCGCTTGCGTTGTGTATGGAAAGTCTAAAGAATTTGCCCGCACCACTAGTATACTCTAGCCACTAGCGGCACCTTAGGCGTTTCGCTTGCGGCACCCCAAGGTGCCGCGTCACCCACTTTGGGAAGGCCTGGTCTAGGTGACATGAATATACGTGCAGCATATTTTGCCGATATGACGCTTATTTACACGGGGCTTAAATTTTAAGAAAACGTCATACATATCTTTCTTTAAAGTGGTATATCTTGGAAACCTTTTAACGAAACTTAATGAAAAAAAAGTATTTCTTCCGTCTAATTATGGGCTTTAATTGTACATTTTTTACATTAATATGCAGCGTATAAAAAACAAACAAAAAAATTAAGTAAACATATTTTTTTTTATATTTTTTTTTGATTATAGCATTTTTAAAAATTTTTATTTTTACATAAAAACATTGTCTATAATTTCAACTTTAAGTACCCAAATGGGCGTAATGGGCTACTTATGCGTATGGACTCTAGTTCTTCTAACGCTCGAGCAATATGATAAATGGACATTGAAATTTTATGAAATTGTATATTTTTGAAAGAGGAAAGGTGTGTAAAAAAAAAAAACAATATGAATAAAAGATGTCAACTTTACTAAAGGTCTGAAATCATGAAAATCCCTTCAAGGAAATGACAGAATTGTACTTTGTTGCAAGTTCACATGGGAAATCTGCTCACGACGTGATTGGAGGAAATTTTATGAGACTAGCAGCTAGAGCAAGTCTTCAGCTCCTGATGTTATAACAAATTCGTACACGTGGGGTACGTAAATAAGTCACGGCCAGAATATCGGCATGTACACACTTGTAGCAACTCTTTTAAGCCTTGACCCCATCGACCACTTATGTAACATTTTTTAGTTTTAATTTTTGTATCTAAGATTGAAGTCAAAGTTATGCTATTCTTTCTTAAAGTTAACTACAATAAAGAGCTTTAATATTTATGACAAGATACATTTCGTTTTATTTATTTAGTTACGGTTAGAACATCGTCGTGTACACATGTGTCGCTACTCGCTTGAGTGCTGACCCCATGCGAGAACTAACGTAACATTTTTTGGCAGAAGTAAGTTATAATTTTTTTTTTAAGTTTGGAGTCGAAATTATGTTTTTCTTTTTTTAAGTTAACAATAATATAGACATTTAATATTTTTGTTAATACACACTTCCTTTTTTATTTTTAAAATTCTTTTTTCAACACTTTTATTGGGGTCACTGGGGACCCCATGCGACTAATTGTGTGATTTTCTTTAATTAAGGGTTAAAAATGGGGTAATTTTCAAAACAGTTGGTGGAATCGGCTTTGTTAGAGTGGACATCCCTGGTAAGTACTCTCGCATACTTGCCCTCGTATTCCGGTTACACACACAGATGCAACTCGCTCAACTTTTCTACTTTTCCCTCGGGCTTTGGCATCCCCCTTCATCTAGTCCCTGCAGCCCGCAGAGGTGCACGCTGCCAGCACAGTGCAAATGTGCTGAGTTTGCCCATCTCTATATAAAACGATCGCCCTCAATCGCTGTTGCTGTGCATAGAAAAGCACTCAGAATGGCAATATATTTAGTTCTCGCTGCTAGAAATTCATTTGCTTCTTTAACTAGATCTAAAACTTCATCATCACTTCTCGAGCTGTAGCATTTTGATAGGAGGCTGTTAGTGAATCCAGATATTGTGTTATTATACATCGTCGCCAGTCCTTGTTTTCATTGACCGATGGGGAGTTACTTCTGTTTTTTTTGTTTACCTACAAATCGTGGTGGAGAAATTTCTATTTCTAGATCGGCTGAAATCATACGAGGTTTCTTACTCCGTAGTGACTGCTTCTGCATTCCTGTGGTCGTTCTTAAGCACCTCCAAAATATTTGCAATATGCTGACCAACGGTAACTTTGAATATTTAGCAATTGTTATTAAAGTAATGATGAACATCGGCCTTGTTATAGCAGAACACAATTGATACACAGACTTTCTTGCGGAAAGCAAAAAGAACCAAATTATCCCCAGTTTTTTATAAAAAATTATATTTTTTTTTAATAACACGTTATTAACTATTTGTTTATTTAAAAGAGCATATTAAAATACTTTTCCCTTGATATATATATACGTATGTATATTTAAAGTATAATTTCAACGCGCCGTAATATTCGCGCGATATATATACAGTAAAAGTTTAGAATAAAAACTCGCGCTGTTTTTAATAGCTTTATATGTATGTAAAAAAAACATAAAACTATTTACCGAAAAGCTGGTTTATATTAGCAAAAGGCGCGTTTCTTTACTCTTCGCTTCAGTATGTTATGCAGCACTTTTTTCGTTTCATGGCTATTTGCACTTCGCGTTTATCTTTGCTTTGCTCTCCGCTCCAGCATTTGTTTAGCCTAAGAGAAAATCGAATGGGTGTTTCATTGAATTCAGTTCCATTGCATTATATCAACGATGAAAAACGCAGGCCTTTGTGAAAAATCCATTACGCATACAATTTTGTATTTTTTATTTATTGACTTTTTAAAATTTTGACTTCGTTGTGAAGATAAAGAGGGTAGGAGGGGGCAACTTCTCCCTGCGTACGCCCTTGTTAAAAGCTATTTCAATCCTTTTCATTTGAGATCAAATAAGTTTAATTTGGATAAGCGGTTTGTTTATTATCCGCATAGGACTTTTATTTCGGACTTAAAAAGTATTTGGTCAACTAGATTTTTGACAGTTCCTCTCAGCTTGACGCGCCAATTCAGGGATGGCAGTTAGGAACGAAACGTAATTGTAATGAAAGCCCGAAGGGTTTTCGGTCACATCATACCTTCCGATTACAAACAAAACCAGTATGTAAAGGACGCTAACCACAAAGCGGCCATTTTTATGGCAAAGTATTCTGGGTTGTAATCGATTCATTCCGATATCCCGCTTTCGAAGTGTTGAAGGAGTGTGTTCGATTACGTAATGTGCGTTTGAGCCGCTGGGATACGACCCGTCTGCAGATTGCCTAAATGGTATACATAACTCTATTCTGTCCTAAGTTGACTCAAGCAGTCACTACTTTTGACCACAGACCTAGTTTAACCCTTGAACAGTTTATTTACCTTTAAGTCTATCTTATCGGGATCCAGAAGATGTTTAGTTAAATACAGATGATGCATCATAGCTTGCAATCGATCACGTTCCTTTTGCAAATGAATTTCCAGTTGTGATACGACTTGCATTTGTACTCGCGCCTGTGCTGTAGACCTCTCGTCCAAATTATGCTCAGTGTTCAGATGCCTGTTGCAGGGAAAAATTATAGAACAGATTACAATGTCATGAGTTTCGAAAGTGTAATTTATTGACAAATAGTAAACGCCGTACAATGAAGCCATAGGAAATGACGCCGTATGGCTTTATTTCACTTTACATTGAGAAACAAGGCCATGCGTATGGTCTTATTTTCCACTGTGAAAGTGAAATAATACCATTATGGCCCTATTGAACCTTTGATAATTTTTATGTAATGTTTACCTAGTGCACGGCTGGTGTGTATATAATAAGTAATAGTCTAGTTAGTGTAAACTTAACTTAACTTACGTAAGAAATCGTCAATGATTACTCAACACGTCAACTTATGCCTGGGACACACATGTGGTATAGAAATTACAATATCGGAACCGATTTCAAGTGTCTTTTTTAATAAAAGATAATTAAATTTTGCGTCGACCTATCAGTGGCGATTTTTAAAAAAGCTCTGGATTTTTATTAATTTATGTGGAAAAATGAAAGAAAAAAAATTGTTACGTTTGAATGCTTCCACTTTTTTGGAAAATACTTGATATTAATTTCAAATTTCTGCAATTATTTAAAAAATTATTCGTAAATATTTTTCGATAGGACACATTTAGGGTCAAATTCACAGTGCGTAGTTAACCACTGACAAAAGTTTAACTATTGATTTTTATATACACAACGCTCAGTTAACAAAAGTTTAAACCAGCATGCACCCATAGTTAAACTCTTGTGAAATTGAAATTTTTTTGTGGAACGAATTTCAAATTTGAATAGAAAAGTATTGATATTTAGAATTTGTATATTTTCAGGCGGTATGAATTTTTATAGTTAACTATGTGACTCTGAATATAAATGCAAAGTTAAACTCTTGTTGGTGGTTAAGTTAGCAATCGTTTAACTAAGCACTGTGAAACCCACCCTTAATTAACAAATTTATTTAATTTGTTATCTTTACTAATATATATTTTGGAAGCCGTTTTTTCGTTTTCTTTTCCTGTTCGAAAAGCTCGCGAACCGCTGTACTGATATTTTTGAAATTTTGAACATGGGATCTAGACTATCCCAGGATGATAATAGATGAAAAGCAATTTCGATATATCAATGAGGCGTGGCACTTCCCATACAAACTGAAGTTTTCACAGAACATATCTCTGGAAGTATTCCTCGTAGAGTGCTGCAACTTAGTACAGATATATATAATGTCAACGCCAAACTCATGGAAAAAATGGGATTTATTGAAAAAGGGGGAGTGGCACCTCCCATACAAACTAAATTTCTCAAATTAGAACATGTATGTGTATCAATGTCCAAAATTTCGAAAATATCGGTACAGCTGTTCTCGATCTTTTTGAACAGAAAGAAAAACCAAAAAAAAACGGCTTCCAAAATATATATTAGTAAAGATAACAGCTTAGATAATTTTTTTAATTAAATGTGTCCCATGGAAAAATATTTACGCATAATTTTTAAAATAATTGCAGATATTTGAAATTGATTTCAAGTAAAATTTTTTTTCTTTCATATTCAACATAAATATATAAAAATCCAGAGCTTTTTAAAGAATCGCCACAGAAAGGTCGACGCGAAATTTAATTATCTTTTATTAAAAAAAGAGAAACTTGAAATCGGTTAATATTTGGGCTCTCAAAATTGATTTGTCCACTGCAACCTTTTTTGCCCCATTGTGCGGCCCCCTTTTTAAGTACTCTCTCTATACTACTATATGTTTCATTACTCAAGCATAAGCAGTATGAAAATTTCTTTTGTTTGAGTAGAGCAGAGATCTTGACTACAATGAACACATCCAGAGATATGCAGTATGAAAAACTCGATTTTTATGGGAGGGGCCACGCTCCCTTTTCCAATAACATAATTTTTTTTTATGAGTATCCGATTAATTTCATATGGAAGGACCATGCCCCCTTTTCCAATACCATAATTTTTTTCCATGACTATGCGATTGATTTCATTTAGGGAGGAGATAGGGCGTTTTGAACAAAATTCTGAAATAGGGTGTTCTTGAAAAGTTTTCTGAGATAGAGCGTTTTTCAATCAAATTATGAAATAGGACGTTCTTGTAAAGTTTTCTGAGATAGGTCGATCTTCCACTTAGTTGTCGATAAGTATCTTTATGTACTGAAGGCTGGTGTGATGAAAAGGGCTTGCCAATAAACTCCCTGAAGGCCAGCATTGCCCATTTACCAAAAGAAGGAATGTCAACTTGACTAGACCCACATTGACAAGGACAGAAATTGAGTTATCAGAAGACGTGAAGTATATAAGGGTAACTCTGGGCAAATGGCTCAATTGCAACTCACATCTCTCGAATGTTACCTACCCTGTCAGAGACTTCATAGTCAGACACTGGTTGCTAGTAAAGGCTGTAAAACTTTTTTGAACCACCTGGGAGCCCGAATTATCGTAACTCTGCAGTGGGTTCCGTAACATGGACCCCAAATGCGCTTGCATGGTTCCGAGCCTTTCTGCGCTACATGTAAAGGATATACTACAGAACTATTTAGGAGCTGAGCTCTGCCCACTAGCGGAAGTCAAAGAGAATGAGGTAATCAAAAAGATCCATAACTTCTTCCAGGAGGAACTCCTAAAGACTCCTTGAACTTATTCGGGAAGGCCTTACAGCTCTAACTGGCTACCTGAAGTTGAGATAACATTTGAATTAGATGGGGCTTTCTGTAAAGACGAACTGCAGATTTTGTGCGCTGGTGGAGGAAACCTCGGAGCATATCGTCGTTTAAAGTTCGAAACCGCGTATCAAGATAATGCAAAACCGCGTATGTGAGGTTGCATAAATTATTTTCTAGCAGAGACCGAATGCCATTTATATCTTGTTATAAAAAATAAATCACTCACAATAACTTTTTTAACAATTTGTTGGCTTATCTCAATTGGTTAGACTTTTGTTTGATTGGTTACTTTTCTACGTTTTCAATTGACCTTTTGTTTTACTTTTTTGTTTTAAATGCAACGGCATTCAAGTAGGTAAGCTAAAAATACTGAATAAAGTGCTTCGGTAGTTTGCTTCTAGTTAGTATAGTTTATTTATTGAAGGGAATAAGATGGTCCAAAAATCAGGCGTTGAATTCCTCAGCTTTTTTGACTTGGATACGAGATAAAAAAGTTTCAGTGTGTAAAGTTTGCAAAAAAGTCTATAACGGTGATCACTTGAGTGAATAAAAAAGTAAGCGCACCTGGGCCACACTGGAGAAGTGAAACTTACGTTACATACCCTGCAAACCAAAGTTCCCGAAATCTTAAGGAAATCTTTAAGAGTATCTCATTTCTGTAACGATTTTTTTACGAATTTTCAAAGAAAATTATATGAAGTGGTTGACACGAACTCGTAAGAAATTTCTGTACGAAAAATAAAGAAAATTCTTGAAAAATTCTGAAAGATATTCTTCACATAGCAGCATTAATTTCGTTGCTTCACAGATTTTCTTCCGAAATTTCGTAAAAGAATGGAAGTGTGCGTAATTTATTTTATTTTAGAAAATTCGGCAAAAAATCGAATTAAATCTTAACGAATTTCTTAAAATTTCTTTACAATGCAGAATACTCTGAAAAAATGGTTTGCAGGGTATCTATTTGGCTCATAACCAATATACATACATATGTATGTACTAGGGATGTTGCGAAAGCGGAATTCTAGACATCCGCGGATGCGGATGCGGATGTCTAACAGCTGACATCCGCGGATGCGGATGCGAATGCGGATGTCAAGTATTTTTAAGAAACAATTAGAATCTTGCGAGATCGTTGCTTAAACAGCGCTAATATGCCAAACTAGACGTAGCAGGTTTTTCTAAAGCTTTTTAAAAAGAATTCTTCATTCTCATTCCTTTGGCTGTTTCAGAATTTGGGGAATCTGTAACTTCATCAGGATTTTTCGATTTTAGTTTTTGCAATTCATTTTTAATACTTTCTTCTGCGCCTGCTTTGAAAAATTTGTGCTTATAGCTAAATAAGTGGATACGGAAAATAAATTATTATTTTCCAGGAATGAAAATTTTGAACAAAATTCTGTTTTCAAAGTCGTAGCTGCAGGCCAAATCGGATCAGAATATTGTTACTTTTTAAAAAAACACCCCGTTTTTTTGTAAGCATTTGAATCTCAAATAGTTACGTAATTCTTATCTTATTAAAGGTCGGATCTATAGTTTTTTAATTATTTGAGCATCGTTAATACGTTGATCATTTCTGCTGGAAATCTCTATCGATGGAGCCTATTCTCTGACTTTAATAGCAAAGAAGGGACAGAAATTTTTAGCCAATGTATACCCCTATGAAAAAAATATTGCCCGACAAGTAAACACAATTGCTGTTTTTTAAATTTTTGCTAAAAATAAATTCCCCAAAGAACCCCATTTGAAATTATTAAAACGAATATATGTAACATCAAAAGCAAATCACGAAAATTTAGTTAAGAATTAAAATGCAAAATGTCTAGTAGTTTTTTTTTTTTAAGATTGGTCAAAATAAAAATTATAATAAAGAAAGAAACCAATGCAGGTATTTAAAGGACAGAAAAAAAACAAGTAAGAAAGTCTAAGTTCGGGCGGCGCACATATTAAATATATGTTTTTTCACCTTTCCGAAACCTACCGCAGATATTAAGCCGGGGGGTATCAATTTTGAGTAAATTAGCGTCCTTCAATTTCGAAATATTGAAGTTTCAAGCATTTCTGAAATTTACCGTTATATGAAAAGCGGCCGTAATTTTAATCCGATTTCAATAATTTTCAACGCTTTGCATTTATGTGGCAAGCACAATAACCACACCGAGTTTGGTACAAATTGGTAGACGGTTACCGATATACATATATGTGATCATAAGTGGGCGGTGCCCCGCCCTTTTCCAAAATTTTACCATAAACGTATTTCTTGGTAAAGAATTGTTGCAAGCATCAATTTTGAATAAATTAGCTTTAATATTTACTGATTTATCGAAGATTTTGTATTTCTCTAAATTACCGTTATATGGG